GTTTTACTTTTAACGCTTTAGTGAAACTTACGAAAATATATTTGAGGCAGGAGAGATCAAATTCAGGGGTACATGTGTATGTGTGTGCAATTCCCGAGGAGGATGCTTAGCTTAGAAAGAGAAATAATTATGATAGAAAGAACTACTACAGAGCATGCCGCAGTTTCCCCCTTGTTGGGGTCACCATTGTGAGTGGAAGCTGATTACATTTATCTTGGGGAGAGAGAACACTAAGGGATAGGATAGAGTAGATATATATGTTCTTGGCTTACTGTCCCAATATGTTGAGAAGATGGTCGTGTCTCCTGAGGCATCCCTTTGGTGACTTCTCATAAAACAACAGTTGGTGTCTTTTCTCTTCTCGGAGAGAGAAGAGCTCAGGGAAAAATGTCTTGTAGCTCTTTCAGTATTAAGATTCGGAGCTTTAGAACTGGTGGGCACTGAGCTCACAGGCTCCCGCCTATCCTGGTCTTTCCTGAATCTAGTGATTTAGCTCTTTTATTTCTTTCCCCTTGTGGGAGCTTGACTAGTGGCCATGCTACCATGATTGAGCCTGGCAGCTCCTTTGTCCTACTCTCCCGGATCTTCTGTTCTTCTTAGCAGCAACAGTGATGACAGGCAGCAGGCAGCTCCAGCAAAGCAAGCAGGAAGTCAACACGAACCATCAGCAGCAACCACAAACCAGTAGCAAGCAAGCGGGCAGGAGCCAGAAAAGAAGCAAGCTATGCTTTTATAGTTCCTAGAAACCTGTACCTTAGTCTCTGATTGGTGCATTCTGTAATTCTTTTATTTGCATAATGTCTTTACCAATCAGGTGATAGTAAGTGAGCCTTGTAGTTCCATCTGGAGGCAGCCCTTCTTAACTGGCAACAATGTTGTGACTTTCCCACCTGACGGCTGCCTGTTGCGCACTTATCTCAGTTCTTGCTGCTGCCCTTGAAAAGGACGATTGGCAGCTCAGGGTGGTCATTGTCTCTCCTGTGGAATAAATAGTTCTTTATGGGAGGCATTGTCCTTTGTAAGGGGTGGAAACCTCAGAGAGGGCTACAGAACACTGGAACAGGCTCCCCAGAGATGTTGTGAAGTCTCTTTCTCTGGAGACTTTCAAGACCTGTCTGGATGCCTTTCTAAGTGATCTGCCCTAGTTTTTGGTCCTGCTGTGGTAAAGAGGTTGGATTCAATGATGTTCAGAAATCCCTTCCAACCCCTAATATTCTGTGATTCTGTGATTTTGTAGAAAAAGACATGCATTTACCTGCTATAGACCAACTGCTTTAAGTTGTCTAGATGCAGATGCTAATCCTTAATGCTTTAAATAAATACACAAATACCTAAATATATAAATAAATAAATAAATCTGAGTGCTATGCCTAACAGGTAGATGTTAGCAGCCATAGTATAGTTTTTCATGGACAGCTTATCTTTCTTTCAGCAGATGAGGACCCTTTTTAAAGTTGATTCACGTTAAGCACCAGAAAGTTAAAGATTGCAAGTATTTTTGGGGAAAAAAAGAGACTCTTTACCAGCTTATGTTCTAAAGTGGTTTTTTGCATATGCTTAGAGATCTAGCAGCATTGGTTTATTTTGGCATTTGAGCAAGTTTCCTGCTTCATTCTTACAGCTGCAATTTGTGGCCACACAATTCTTCCTTAAGGAAGCCTGACTTATCAAAACTGTGTTGGTTTTGTTTGTCTTTTTTTTCTTCAAAAAACACTTGTGAACTCTTTAAAGAAAAGAAGGAAGATAACATACACTGAACACGAATGAAAGAAGAGAGATTAGGTTACTGGCATTGCTTCATATTTTAATAAGTAACTGTTATGTTTAGCTGGTACTTAGTGACTGACCTGGATCACAGCCTTATTGTACTATTCAGAATGTGGAACTGGGCAATTTTTTGTGAACTGATAAACCAAATGAACTTGCCTGGAGATTGTTGATAAAGTTCAGAACATTTTCTGCTCATTATAAAAACATTTTTAGTATCTACAGGTTTTTAACATAACTTGTATCTGTAACACTGTTTAGACAGAGTCCTCTCACAAAGTACTACTGATTTATTTTTATAGTGGTATGGAAGTTTATTACATTCTGTGATAATCAGATTTTAAAAGATCTTGAAAGCCATGCTTTCCAGTTCAGTACCATACCATAGAAGAAATGTTCTCAGTTAGGGTATATAGAATCATAACATCCTAGAGCGGTTTGGATTGGGAGAGACCTTAAACATCATCTAGTTCCAGGTCACCTGCCTGGGCAGGGGCACCTTACACTAAATCAAGTTGCTCAAAATCCCATCCAACCTGGCCCTGAACACTTCCAGGAATAGGGTATCCATAAGTTCTTTGGGCAACCTGTGCCAGTGTCTCACCATCCTCACAGTCAAAAATATCTTCCTAATGTCTAACCTAAATCTACCTTCTTTCATTTTTAATCTATTACCCCTTGTCCTGTTGCTATTTGCCTGCATAAACAGTCCCTCCCCAGCTTTCCTGTAGCCCCTTCAGGTACTGGAAGGCCACTGCACCTGCATTAGAAAGTTACCATCAATGCACTGCAAGATGATTCTTCTCTACAAAACTATGTTTCCAGTTTTTATTTTGATGCTTCTGGTTTTAAATGTTGTTTCATATAGTAAAGTAAAAATAACAACAACAAAAATACCTGGGAAATGGAAGGTCATTTGAATTTTTCATTCCTCTGAGTGGCAAGGCCATTCCGGAAGATAATACCACATATACTGACATTTGTTTAGGATACAGAAAAGAAAGCCTCACTGAGTGTTGCAAAGACTTGCCTTGATAATAATATATCAAGTGGACCAACTGGAATGTTAGCCTTCAAGAACTTCAAACAGGATGGGAAGATAGGCAGAAATTGCTAGGCTATAAATATTAAGATACAAAGTCTGCAGGAGAATGAGAGGTGGCCATATGAGCAATTGAGTAATGTAACATTAAAAAGCCCCAAACTTTTTCCTGCTATTTGACTTTTATTTCATCCCAAGTGGAATACACCAAGAGGTGTGATACACACTGACTACATGTTTTAGACACATCCAATGACTTCCCTGCAGAGCCACTGATGGTTAGGAAGTAATTGTTTGACTCAGTCCTAAGTATATAAAATCACAAGTAGATGAGGTAGGAAGAGACCTCTGGATATCAATTAGTTCAAATCCACTGTCCAAGCAGGGCCACCTCAAGATCATAATCCAGGACTGTGTCTAGTCAGGTTCTGAGTATGTCCAGGGAAGGAGACTCCACAATCTTTACGGGCACCCATGCCAGTGGTCTGTCATTCTCCCAGTTGTTCTTGTTTATGCAGAATATCTTGTATTTCAATGTGTGCCTACTGCATCTTTTCCTGCCACTCAATAGCACTAGGAAATGTCTGTCTTGACCTCCCCTCACCCTGCCATATTTATGCACACTGACAATTTTGTCCAGAGCCTTCTCTTCTCCTGAACAGTCTCAGTTCTCTCAATCTCTACTTGCATGCAATTTACTTCAAGCCCTTTATCATCTTAGACACCCTTCTCAGGACTCATTCCAGCCTGTCCATCTCCCTCACATACTGGGGAGCCCAGAACTGGATCCAGCACTTCAGATGTAGCCTCACCAGTACTAAACACAAGGCAAGGATCACCTCCCTTGTCCTGCTTGCAACATTCATTCTAATGCAGCCCAAGAGGCTGCTGGCCATCTTTGCTAAGACATATCAAAAGATTATTTTTCATAAGAAAGACTTCTACACTTTAAGGGATTACAGATTCCACAAGTTTACATGGATTTAAGAGCAGACAAATCTGCAGAAAAGAAATCTACTGAGGATTATTAAATCAAATAAATATTACAAGATGTCCCTGAGCTATAAAACTGGAAGCTTAATGACTTGGAAGTTCGATGATGTATCACCAAATGCTTCCTTTATCCCTATGCTTAAAGCATCCTTTTTTTGACTACTGTTGAAAATATTAGGCTAGATGAACCTCCAATTTGATGCAGGAGTTTTCTTAGGTATTGCAAAATGCTACATGAATTGTACAGTGTATTATGTTACACCCACTGCAGTAATTTATCAAGTTTCTGAATTTGACAGTGAAAGATACAAGATTATGAAAGATAACTGTTTAGATGAACAACACTGTTAAAAGATTAATTACAACTTCAGAACTTTTTAAAATCAAGCAGCAGGGAAAGAAGCCCCTGTAGAAAAATGCAATGAGAATTTTACCTCATATCCCATTCATATGAACTCTCAAACTCAGGATAGCACTTGGAAGTGCAATGGGTACAAAGAACTTTCAGTTTTTCAGCATCCTCTCAAAAAATTTAAGTTCGACAATGTCAGAGCACCCAGATATATCCACTAGGGCAATGATATTGAAGACAATCTTCCATTTCTTCAATTGGCAGTATATAAGCAAAGGACAGAGATCACAATTTAGCAGGCCAGTATTTTATTTTTCTCCAGAAATCTTCATACCACTCATACTACTGACTGGCTTTTCAAGCTACTTGATGCATTAATGATTTTGTGAAGTCTGTTGAGTTTAAGGATCTCTTAATTTTTCTCAGTTGGGATGGATTTGACAATATAGTCTTAGGATTAGCACTTCAGTATTTTGTATTCTCCCTCTCTCTTGACATCCAAGTCCTCATACAATTTAAAGAACATTTCTACACACACACACACAAAAGAGCTCCAAAGAAGAAATGATGTTTCTAAAAAATATTAGTTCATGTTAGGATGTATTTCCTAAATGGTGGCACTATGTAATGAGACTTACGAACTAACAACATATGGCCATTAATTATCAGCACATTTAATAAATGAAGTAATCTTATTAACAGATGGTTATTTCTAGCAGTTGCTATTTTATAGATTTCAAAGTATAAGGACAGTTTAACAAAAAAGTTCAAACAGCACTTGTTACTTCATAAGAAAGTACTGTTGATACAAATCTAAAAGCATTAAAAAAAACCCCCTAATTTAAATTAGTTTAAGTCATCAAATTTAATCTTTTTCCCCTGGAATACTGTAATTTGAGACATTTGTTCCCGGCGTCTCTTGCTTGCTTCCCAAGAAGGATGAAGAGGCTGCTCCAAACATGTTTTCTTACTGCCGTATGTAGTACCTGCAGCTTTTGCAAATGATTGCTTCTTGAGCTGTGGTTCCTTTTTAAGAAGTGCTGTGCAAGAAGTACAAAATAAAACATGAACTATATTATAAATAAATATATACTTCATAAATATTTGAATATCATAAATATACTTCATAAAAATATGCTAAAACTACCATGGGGTTGCAGATATTTTCAATAATTTCTTAATGAGACATGGAGAACACATATATCTAAATGTTCACAGCAAGGCTTCCTAACCTTGCAGTACATTTCCACTGGTAGAATGCAGATAGTTAAAATTTATTATTACTGACTACATTCAAAATTTGTGTAGCCATATATTCAGCACAATCTCAATTTTTTTCTTCACATTAAACCCATTAATGAGATATTACACAATATAATTAATTCAGTATGACTGAAACTATACCCTTGTTCTAATTATTTATAAAATGGAACCATATACTATAAATGGAATAAAATATTGAAGGAGCTATTGAAGGACTTATTCACAAGATAAACTACTAGTTAAATATAATCTGACATTATTCCCCATGCACAGGTAACACCACCTGCTCAACATGAAGATAAGGTAGAAAAGCACTTTCCTAAGTGCTAGAGCACTAAAGTAGTCTAAGCACTACTTTTAAGTATTTCTAATATTAAACCCAAGAAAATAGCAAATAATATGTTCAACAATTTGACCATTTTAGCAACAAACATTAACATACATGTCACAAAATTGAAATCACACAAAGAACAGTCTATCATGATTAGACTGTAGAGGCAATAAAACCTTTAAAAGTTTTTACTCTTACAACTTCTCCAGTATAAGTTATACATACCTGTTCTTCCATTTTTGAGAGGTTGGTCTTTAGTATTTCTAAAAAATAAAATCAGAATTTAGGACTTTTCAGGATAAACTTGTAACATGACAGACACCTGTGCATAAAGAATCATCGTCACCAAAACACCTGGGCAATGACTTTTCAAGCATAATGTGCAAAACCTTAATATATTGCTTCGTATTTTTTAATAAGAAGTAAAAATGGAAGTATTCAGTAGTGATTTAATTTGGATGCAGGTCTAGTTAGGAATCCTATGTATATGTCAGTGCTAATGTGAATATGAAAAACACATGTCTAGAAACCATAAGAAAATTGCACAGTAGCTTATGTGATTGGCAGTAATTGGCTGCAATTCTTGTTTTATAAGGGCTACTAAAATCTACAATTTTCATTGCTAGGAATGAGGGAGAACATAGCAAGGGGAAAAGGTTTACCTTCTTCTGTTTTGAGATTTCTGATTTGAGGTAGACAAAGAACTGCAGAACATTGATTCTAGCTTGCTTGCTTTTGCATGTGGCTTTTCTTCTTCCATTATCAAATCTTGTGTTGTCCCAGGTGCTGTGTTCTTTTCTTTTTTCATTATGTTTTTCTGAAGTCTATCCTTTCCTTTTGCTGAAGAGAGATCAGTAGCTGCTGCTGTCTTTTTCTTTCTTTTTACTTTGCCAATGAAGAAATCATCATTGCTGTCACTGTCAGAATCTGATGACTGGTTATAAAACCTCTCTTCAGTACTATCATCATAGTACTCCTCTTCATTAGGTTGTTCCAGGTCACTATTATTGTTAGTTATTTCTTTTATTGTGCTTAATTTGTTCATACTCATATTTTCTTTCCTTTTTTGATAGCCAAGTTTCTTACCTATTTTATTTTGACTGACTGCTTGCATTTCTACTGACTGAAATGGAGATTCTTCTGGAAAATTTGCTCTCTCCATTTCCATAGGCTTCTCAGGTTTGTTCTCATGAAGTTCTTCAGCCACCCTGTCAGTTTCTCTTTTCATACTAATTTTTTGTTTTTGTTCACATCCTTGATGTTTTTGAGCTAGTTTAAGAGCTTGGTTATTCAAATTGCTACTGAAATGTTGTGCTGATTTAGGCTGTTCTTCTGACTTAGCTTGTTTTGAATGAGTGGCTTCAGCTGTGCTCTTTCTTGCATCCTTAAAAGCTTTTACAGCAGCTAGAGAAGGGGCAGGAGAAAAATATTTTGTTGCAACTACACATGAATTTACATATGCCATTTTGATATAATAAAACAATTTTGCCAGTTAAATGTGTTGTACTGAGTTAGTGTATTTTGAATGTCCTCACAAATCATACTCTGAACACATGGGACAAGAAACACCTTAAAGTAAAAATCTCATCAATGGAAGTGAGGAAATGAACAAATCATTACCAACTGAATGTACTGCTAGACTTGGTTTTAACTATGAACTTCTCTTTCAGCAAATAATCTGCAACTGATGATCATGTTCATTTAGGGCATTAACTTGTATGTAAAAACTGCAAACAAACAGTAAATATAATAAAAATGGGTACTTGACATTCTCTGTTATTAACAAAGTAATTTTTTGATGTTGTGACTAGAACTTGACCCGTTTTAGGCCCATTTTAGTTGGAAAATTTGCGTTTAAAGAAAACAGGACACAACCTAATGAACCAGGAAATATTCTCTAAGGATTCTGGGCACAGTTTTCAGGGAAGGTTTAGGGAATAATTTGCAAAACCTTTTAGCTGACTTTGGAAACCCAGTTGTAATGCTCCTTTTACCTTTCTATCTGCATGTTACTGTGCTCCTCGCCAGTTCAGTCCTATTTAATTGAGAGATACTCCATTATATCGGCTTGATTTTTAGAGTTCCCACTATGCCCTGTTTGCCCTATACTCTGTATCTTAAATGTATATAGCATACTGTCATATTTGTAAGCCCATTTCAGGCAATACAAATGGCAACAAGCCTGCGACACTTGGTTCACTGCAGCTAGTTAGGGTAATTATAGGAGCTTTTCATTTTTTTACTTTTATACTAGATGTTCTTGTCAGAAATACATAGGAACAAGGTAACCCACTAGAAAGCTACTGAAGACATAAACAAGTTAATAGAAGACAGCATACCTTTAAGTTCAATAAATCTGGGTTTCAATATTGGGTGTGTGGCAAGTCTTGCAGTGGCTCGCTCAGCTGCAGTACAATTTGGCTATACAAAATAAAATCAAAGGCATGAAGTCAACAGAATGGTGAATACTTACACAGGTCTGTATCGGTTATGCTACAATGCATATTTATGTGATTCTGGACTATTAACTGAACAGAGAAAAAGCTTATGACATGGTAATACTTGAATATTCTGTATTTTTTCCCTCATCCTGTCATTCTAAGTGAGGAAAAATCTGTCTGCCTGAATACTGACAGAAATGGATCACATATGCAAATCTGCTATTTTTCAAGTACTGAACACGAATAGCACAGTTTTTATTTTAAAACCATACCAGACACATCTTTCAGAGCTAGGACATTGATTTTACATTTGCTGGTTTTTACACATACAAAGAAAATTAATGAGCCCCCTGAATAAAGACCATACTGGTAGAAGGCATTCTGCATGACTCATGACATTGCATGAGTTGGAAGTGACCTCTAGAGATCACCTAGTCCAACTTCCCTCTAAAGCAGGATCCCCTAGAGCACATTACTAAGGGCTGCATCCAGGCAGGTCTTGAGTATGTCCAGAGAAGGGGACTCCACAGTCTCCCTGGGCAGCGTGTTCTAGTGCTCTGTCACCTTCCTCATATTTAAATGGAACTTCCCATGTTCCAGCTTGTCCCTGTTTCCGCTTGTCCTGTCACTAGGAACTACTGAAAAGAGTCTGGATCCATCCTCCCCTTAGATACTTATAGGCATTGAGAAGGTCTTCCCTCAGCCTTCTCTTCTTAAGGCTGAACAGTCCCAGCTCTCTCAGCCTTTTCTCATAAGAGAGATGCTCCAATCTCCCAATTATTTTTGTTGCTCTCTGCTAGACTCTCTCTAGTACTTCCCTGTCTCTCTTGAACTGGGGAGCCCAGAACTGGATGAAGGATTCCAGATGTAGCCTCACCAGGGCACAGCAGTGAGAGAGAACAACCTCCTTCAATCTACTGGCCACACTCTTTTTTTCCCGTGATTCCACTGGCCCTCTTGGCAGCAAGGGCACATTGCTTACTCATGGATAATTTACTGTCTACTAGGACTCCTAGATCCTTCTCCTCAGAGCTGCTTTCCAGCAGGTCCACCCCTAACCTGTATTGGTGCATAGGGTTCTTCCTCCCAAGGGGAAGGACACTACACTTGCCCTTGTTGAACCTCATTAAGTTCCTCTCTGTCTATCCAGGACATGCTTAACAGCAGCACAGCCCTCTGGAATGTCACCACCCCTCTCAGTCTGGTATCATCAGCAAACTTGATGAGGATACACTCTGTCCCCTTGTCCAGGTCATTGATGAAGATGTAGAACAAGACTGGACCACGTATTGATCCCTGGGAGACACCGCTGGTTACAGGCCTCCAACTCAACCCTGCTCCATTGATCACAACCCTCTGAGTTCTGTCACACAGCCAGTTCTCAATCCACCTCTGTGTCTACTCACCTACCCACACGCTCAGTTTCCTCATGAGGATGTTATAGGAGACAGTGTCAAAAGCCTTCCTGAAGTCAAGGTAGCTGACATCTGCTACTCTCCCCTCATCCAGCCAACCAGTTATGTCATCTTAGAAGGCTAGCAGATTGGTCAAGCATGATTTACCCTTGGTAAATCCATGTTGACCACTCCCAATAACTTCCTGTTCTTCAATGTGTTTAGAGATGACATTCAGAAGGAGACACTCCAACACCTTCCCAGGGACAGAGGTGAGATTAACTGACCTGCTGCTCTCTGGGTCCTCCTTCTTGAAGAAAAACAACAGCTTGCAAAAAGTGCAGTATTGATGCCATAAAAGTAGGCAAAATGATACAGCAGGTACTGAATGAATAGACATTAAATGCAGTTGAGAGGCAAGACCTAATTTGATCTCAGAGAAAAACAGCCTTGAATTTGACATGGTAGAACACTGAAATTCTGTAGACTGATTCAAAGAACAAATATGATCTTCATGCTTTAATTTGAAGGAAGAGAAAAAAAGTAGAAATGGCTTCAATTTTTTATTTCCTCTTTTATATATTAGAACTCATTGGTATGACACACAGTAACCTCATTTTCACACTCCTGTCAACACTCTACTTAAAGAAGAAGTGAGAAGTATCTTTTTTATTTTAACAATGGAAAGGATGGTGTAACAGGACTGTAAAACACAAATTTAGCAGGAAGACTTCTTAAAGTCTGAAGTGGAATTCTCTGGGAGAAAGACAAAACACACCTTTCTCCCCTTGTCCCAGTGATACTGTAATAGATATATGTTTAAATTGCTGCTACCTGCGATTTGAGCTCTATGTTACAGAAGAACTACAGCAAAAGCCACCTGAACCACAGATGATGAGCTTTGTAAAGAACCATGCAAGTGCTCCATGACCCAACCTGAGCTGATTCTGGTGTCCAACAACTCAACACAACAGGCTGCTGCCTCTCCTGTCCTGAGTGACCACTGCAATAGATGGAGCCTGAGTCACAGGTATGTAAATGGTAGGGAATAAGAGGTGGGCATTGTACTGGCACTGACCTGCGATAGAGCTAACTTTCTTCATGGCAGGCAAGGTGGTGCTGTGCTTTGGATTTGCGACTAAAACATTTTTGAGTTGGTAATACATTCATGTTTCAGTTATTGCTGAGCAGTGTCTGGGCAGCATCAAGCCTTTTGTTTCTCTCTGCCTTCCCAACAAGCAGACTGGGAGTGGGCAAGAGGTTGGGATGGAAACGGACCTTGGACAGTTGACCCAAATTGACCAATTCCATATCAAGTCATGCTCAACAATAAAAATTCATGGAAAGGAAAAGGAAGGGGGGGATGTTTGTGGTCATGTCATTTATCTTCCCAAGTAACCATTATGTGAAATGAAGCCCTGCTTTCCAGAATGTGGCTAACCATTTGCCTGATGATGGCAGGTAGTGAACAAATTCCTTAATTCTCCTTTGGTTACACACAGCTCTTTTCTTCACTTATTGAACTATCTTTATCTCAAGCCAGTGAGTTTTTCTCACCTTTGCTCTTCTGATAGTATCCCCATCCTGTGGAGCTGCAGTGAGCAAGCAGCTGCTGGGTGTTATAGTTTCTGGGTGGGATCAAACCATAACACAAACACTACCTAACACATAAGAAATGCTTGTTCAAAGTATTGGATTTGCTTGACATTAAGAGTGCTCAGTGCAGAATCTTACTTGTTTGTATGTACATTTTCTTCCCACAGAATTATGCCACTTAGTATGAACATTATGTGTTCATTGCATAAAGACAGATGGACACTTCATGACAACTAGTAGTGCTTTTTGAAAGTAGTCACTTTCAGTGCTCTGGTCTGAAGGAAACAGAGCAGGAGATGACACTGCAGCTACGGCACAGCCAGTACTTCTAAATGCAGAAATATGTAATTGATTTATAAAACACAAATCTTGTGGCTCAACCAATGCAATGCAAATCAATTTTTATTTCTTTTACCGTAGTTCTACAGCTCACAAAATATACTCTGGGTATGTTTGCTCATATTTCATGTTCGAAGTGCAGAGCATCTGGAAATTCTAGTACCTTCCTTTCTCCTCAAGTCTCTATTTTTCCAGGTCATGAAAAACTGGGAAAATGTTTTCTGTGTAGACTGTCCACAGAACTATCAACACTGGCCAGAGGAATGGGGTCAAAAGATGGGTCCCTTTCCAAGGGCCACAGACTGGTAGCCTAGCTCCAAGAGCTTGAAACCTGAATTTTGATACCCATCTGACAGTGCTGCACACTGCCACCAGATTCCTGGGACAGAAAGCTCACATTTCTGAAGATCAAGCGCTATTTTCTTTGGAGATTTTTCTGTAGCTGGAAAATCTATTTCTGAACTTAATTAATACACTTTTCCCCTCAGCTACTTCCTGTGGGTTTTGAAAGAATATACCATGAAGTTCAGAAAGCAGAAGCAGCTTCTGTGCAACATCTGGTGTCCTTTAATTCAAATGTTTATAGAAAGAGTTTAAGCATATACATGCCAATCCATATGGAGTATCCACTTTTTTTTCTTATAGCAAAATACTTCACAAATACTACTTACACTGATAGACAGTAGCCAATAAACATGCAATGACATTCACATTCCTTAAAATTTCTCATTTTTCTGTGTAGTTTTGTTGTTGTTGTTTTTTGGCACATACAATGCTCAATTTATTTTCCCTTAAGTATCTTCCAGTATATAAAATCTTGGCAGAAAATAAAACTTCACAGAAAAATGTCAACTGTATTTACAGCAAGGACACTCATTCCCTCTCCTCCCACCCCCAGTATGTTTAGTTATGCAGATACTGGAACTGTACACATCTATTCTTACATGATCCTGCTGCTTTTTATATTATTTTGCAGCACTCATTTTTTCACACAAGACTGTCTGAGTAGCTTCCATAGAACTCTCCCTTATTCAGTGTGCAACTAAGGTGCTACAACGTGAACAGCAACTGAGCAGTGTATAGTCATGGTTTTCAGTGAGAAGTTGTAAGCTGCATACAGAATCACCTGAAAGTCAGAGTCTTCTCAACCTTTTTATTTTGGTAAGTGACACATTATTTCTATACATAGTATTAAAGATGTCTGTCATCACTATCATGTTTCATTAAACCCCATGTGGACATTTAACTGAATTAACTGCACTGATCTCTATATTTTCAGATCTCTTATACCAAAAGGAAACCCAAACTGCATAAACAACCATTCTTCATCCTGAATGGTAGATGTGCACACAGATGTACAAAAATATAACTTGTTGGTTATACCACAAGAAAGCAGTCCAATACACATATATGCTCCACATTAGCGATGCAAACTGTGTACAGTGTGGCAATGATTGGCAACAAATGGACATTTACAAGCTTGCTAAGATAAAAACAGATTCATAATGCAAGTTTTGAGATGTTCTGTAATAGGGTTCTGAAGAAGTATGGAATGGCTCTGAGAACTGGCAGCACATGGTAAAGAAAAAAACTGATGGAAACATGAGGTAGAACTTGTTTGTGTAGTACCTGCTTCCTGCAACACAGTCAA